CGGCACTGCCCCTCCCGAGGGCAGCGCCGTGCGGGCCCGGGCTCCCCGCCCCGCGGGCCGCCGCTGGCTCCTGGAGGCCGGGAGCGGAGCCCACCATTGTGGGCACGCAGACTGTGTCTTTCGTGAGCGCCAAAGTCGTCCCTCTCCCACCAGTCGGCCGTTCCCCGCTCGCAGCTGGGGAACACTTTATCTCGTTTTCATCAACGGTAATAGAAACAAAGAAGATCCCCTCTTTCTTCAGCTCTTTTTTTCTCGTTTTTTTTTTTTTTTTCTTCCTTCCTCCCCCTCACGGCTCTGAGCTGTAAAGAAGAAACACCCACGTATGTTCTTCCTCACTTATGTGGATCTGAAGACTTTACATCTCCAGCTCAATTTCATGACCTGGGATGGATATTTATGTACAAATCATCACGATATGGATTTTATTGGAAGACACAACAAAATGCAGGACGTTGAGCACCGAGAGCTTAAAAAAAAATTATACCTCAGAGCATTTGCAGCAGGGGTGTGTGGGGGTTATTGAAGTGCGGTGCCCCTTAAACCTCAGTGGCAAGGCTGTGCTTGGTGGACGCTCTGCTCTCACTCCTTGTTCCCTCTCACTGTAGGAAGTTGCTGTAAAGTTGGAGTCTCAGAAGGCTAGACATCCCCAGCTGCTGTATGAAAGCAAACTATACAAGATTCTGCAGGGAGGAGTTGGCATCCCACATATACGGTAGGAATCATTCATGTGTGCCAGTACAGTGACTTGTCCTTAATGTTAGTGTGAGGCAGGACACCACCGTTAAAAAGAGATTTATCTGGGAGGGACGGGGCTGTTGGGGGAAGAATGCTCCATTCCAAGCTCTACAGCCCGTTGGGTGTCCTCCCCACTGGCCCGCTCTGTTTTCTTATCCGAGCGCACTGTGGTTTGAAAGCGAGATCTTGGGCAGCTCCTGAGCTGGGAGAAATTCTTGTGATTAGAACAAAGTGCAAGGCTGTTTCAGTGAGAGCCAGTGTTCTCGATGAGGCTGAGAGTTTGGAGCCGGTACTGGAAATGGCTGCTTTCTTTTGTTGCTTTTTTTTTTTTGTTCCAACATGTCTTCCTCCTCCGCTCAGAAAATGGCGGATGGACGTGATTAACCCTCCCCCTTCTCGTGTTGGGACAAGGGACGTGCTCAGGCATGTATCTTTTCCTTTCATAGTTAAGTGCTGCGAGGCTCGAGACGGCAAAGAACCTCAACCAGGAATGAAATGGCAGCCCCTTTCTCTTACCCGCAACAGATGCGTCACTAGGATTTCCGTACAGTTAAAGCGCCAAGATTAATCCCTCCCAATTGCTCGTTATGTGGCTTCCTTGTTTCATATTCTGTCTGAAACTTTCAATAATGTTTAATAATTTCCTGATCTGGAAGAAAATCGCTGGTGCAGCATGCTCTAAGAGGAGTTATTTCTCTTGAGATTATTGAGGTGTTATACTGGGTTAGTTCTCAACTGCTGAATCTATGCATCAGAATAGCTTAAATGAAACTTCAGTTTTCTCCAAAAAGACTTTGTACAAGAAGTTGTTCTTTTTTAAAACTTTGTTAATAATTGTTTTTAAAGTTAGTATTTCTTATATTTGCACTATGGCATAAAGAAATTTTGTTTGTTGAGCTGCAGAAAAGATTTCAATTTAGATATTAGGACAAACCGTGGATTCCTTTTATCCTGTTAACCCTTCCTTGACTTTGTTGTATGTTTACCTGTATCAAGTGGCCTGTAGAGTCTATTGTAAGGTCATAATGATGACATATTCTAGATCATGTATTAATTTTAGCGAAAGATAAAACAAGTCTGCCTTTCTGAGGTTAATAGCTCCCCTCCTCCCCCTTCCCCTCCAAACACAACTGGCTAGAGTCCTGAATGTAAGCTGGAGCTATATAGCAGCGGAGGAGGCAGTGTTGTCTCGGCCATCTGGCCTCATTCACTGCAGCCTTTTGCAGGAAAGGAATAAACATACCTGAATTAAGCAGAATACTTGCAGCTTAGACAGAGTTGCTTATGTGAAAACAGGTTTAGTCTTTACTTTGGACTACGTTTTCCTTCTTTTCTTCAGATGGGTGCCGTATTTTGCAACAGAAAGAATAGAAATTGCATTTTGGAAAGCTGTCATGGTATAGTTATGTGCTAAAACAGGAATAACTGGGAAAACAGCCAAAGCAAGTGGATATCAGGTGTTTCATCGCAAAACTGGAAAAGCAGGCATCCTTAAACTGTTTTTTTGAAAAAGTAAATGAACGTTTGGTGCTAAAACAAGGCCTAAGTTGCAAATTTTTCAATTTTTCCATGTAATAGAACTGAACTACTGTGTAAGTTCTTGGATGTGGTTAAAATGCCCCATAAGAGCGTTTTATTTAAAGCTGAAATACTGAAAGTAATCTTACATGTTGAGAAACTTGCTTCTAGCTTCACTTACAGCAGTCGTCTTTTTAAGTTTTCTTTCCTCTGTATTTGATGTTCTTGTATCTGATTTTGTTTTCTGTTACAACCAGCGACTGGTTTACAGGTCTCACCACCACAGGGGAACTACAGCCTTTCTTTAACACACACTTCCTCCCCCCCCAATAATACAAGATTATTAATTAAGAATAGGCAACTGAGGCAGTGCTCAGAACAACTCAAATTGATTCAGAGACTCATTGTGCTAAAGGTGTGTGATCGATTTGATAATGTCAGCGAGTCTTGAAGTTTTTCACTTTCAGGTTCTCACAGTGTTAATATTTGTAGTATTTTTCTAGAAAAGTGTCTTCAGAAAAGTTTTGGAAATACCTTTTTTGTCTTCAGAAGCAGCATTAATTTAAAATCTATTTGTCTGTCCCAGGTGCTGCTTGACAGGTTCTTTGACTAGGCTTCTGTTACTATGTTGTCGTCTTGCTGTATGACATCTGGTGATGCTTGAAGAAATGTAAAATTGTATTTTTGTGTTCATCTTCAAGAGGAAGCTGACCAGGGTACCCAGCACAGTTCTTGCGACAAATGTTAAAACATGATGTGTTTAGTAGAAGTAGAATCCACGGTACTCTGAATCTAAGGGGGAGGACTTGGCCTACCAAATGAGACGTATCACTGAGGTGCTTAACAAGGATATGTCTTTGAATAGGTGATTACAAAGAGTAACACCAAAGTGAAATTACTGTGCGTATTTCAGACAATTCAACTTTCTTGACGTGCATTTTTGGCAGCAGCTAAGCTGCGAGAATGTATGACTTTGTACTTAGGTCACTTTGCATGTGTAATTGATAATACATGTTCCACCATTGTTTTATAATGGTATGCTGTCAAGTCGGAATAAGCTGTTCTTGGCTCAGTATATTTAGAAGGATGAATCAAGTTGAAGCAAAATCTTTCAATACATTTGTTAAAATTCCTGTAATGTGACACCTTTAAACAACAACAGCACAGAGCATTTGATAGAAAATTAAGGAATCATTCTAAGCTGTTCTCATTGCCATGCTGTATAAGCTGGGCTCAGCAGCATTTTTATCTCAGTGCTGCACATCTGGGAAACAGAGGCACGTAATCTCACATTCCTCATTTAAGAATGAGGGACTTGTTCTCTATTTGTCATCTACTTAATGCAGTGGCCAAGACCAACCTACTAGACGTTGCATTATGTAGCTTTGCCTTACTAAAGTGGTCTGCTGTGGTTCTTTGACTCGCAAAGCTGAAATAATAGGTGAGGTATGGATTGCTCATTCATTTTGGGCACCTGTTCTTAAAACCGAATTCTGCCCTTTAGATGTGATTGCAAACTTAGTAATGATAAGATAGCATATCCAGAGTGTCACTTAAATTATCTAGAACCAAGCAATTTAGCCTTTAAGGTTGATTTGGCCTTTCTGGCTGATTGCAAGAAAGAACGCGTTGTTTGCGCACAAAATAGCAAAAAATGAGATTGGAATGTCTTTATTCTCTGAATATTCAGCTCTGGGGCCCCCCAACATAGGAAGGACATGGACCTGTTGGAGTGAGTCCAGAGGAGGCCACAAAGATGACGAGAGGGCTGGAGTGCCTCTGCTGTGAGGACAGGCTGAGAGAGTTGGAGTGGTTCAGCATGGAGAAGAGAGGGCTCCGGGAGCCCTTCTAGCATCCTTCCAGTGCCTGAAGGGGGCCTGCAAGAAGCTGGAGAGGGACTTTTTACAAGGGAGCATAGTGATAGGACAAGGGGTAATGGCTTTAAACTGAAAGAGCGTGGATTTAGATGAGGTATAAGGAAGAAATTCTTCACTCTGAGGGTGATGAGGCACTGGCACAGGCTGCCCGGAGAAGCTGGGATGCCCCCTCCCTGGCAGTGCTCAAGGCCAGGTTGGACGGGGCTCTGAGCAGCCTGGTCTGGTGGAAGGTGTCCCTGCCATGGCAGGGGGCTGGAACCAGGTGATTTTAAAGGTGCCCTCCAACCCAAACCATTCTATAATATTCTAAACCCTTTTAGACTTGCAAATCTTTGACTTCACTGATTATTTTTGTTTCCTGGAAGAGATAGCAAAGTTTGAACTTGTCTCTGGAGTTTCACAAAACCTTATATAAATGCTCTTCAGATTTTTAAGCTGTGGTTTGTTCTTGATGTACAAATTTTGGTTAATTATTACCTTCATTTTTCACAAAGGCTCTTGAACCAAGCTTAACATTCTAACAATCTGATCTGCCTTCGGGACACAATGCAAAGTCTGCAGTATTCTGCTGGGCTTATTCTCATTGTTCTCAGCCATCAGCTGTCTTTTTCTTTTTTCCTCTCTTTTTCAGTGGCAAAGCATTTTTAGCTGTAATCTTGTTAACTGGGCACTGATCCTATTAGTTTGGACTGTCTACCTTTATTCCCAAATTCTTTGTTCTGGCTTGGAGGAATGCAGCAGAGTGTGTTTGGTGATTTTGTGTGGTGTTTTGTTCATAGTGTAACTCTGTTAAACACCCTTGACAAAGGCAATTGTTCAAATTATCTGTGACAGATACTCTTGATTTTTGCCATTTGTGGTGTTTCTCAAGTATTGTTCGTATCCTTTATGACGATTACCTTTAGGTACTCTTTCAGACATACTTTGGAAAGAAAAGTGGGCTTCAGATTTTTCTCCTGACAGTATCATGGGTTAACTTGTTTTCGCTATTGTCAGTTTCAAATGGGAAACAGCTATGCTGGAACCAGCTGTGGCTATTGGCGATGTACTGGAAGTGTTGCAGTTAAGAGCAGGAAGAGAGCCTAGTGAATGTGAAACAATATCGTCTGTATTCTTGTGTGGGCAAGGCCGAAGAGATACTGTACAGCATGGGAGGCTAATTAAAGTAATATTTAAGTTTAGTCATTTGTAAGTTTAAAAAACAAAAGCTACTGACTTAGTGTTTGGTTTTTTTCGCAATATTCTCTTGCAAACTGAACAAGTAAATCCTTCCATTTCTGAACTTTTCAATACAGTAAGTTCTTGCAAAATATTTTGATGTTGAGAAAGTCAGTATTACCACTCCTGTATCACTACGCAATCTTCTAAATAGTGAAGCGTACTGTAAAGTTTCTGGCAAAAAAAAAATCTATAAAAGTATCTACAATTTTTGTTCTCCTGGTTGCTTACTGCCATGTTGTTGGATAATCTATTAATAACAGACTCTGCCTGTATTCGTTTGAAAATTGTGGTCAAGTTTGCTAATCTTAGGATTGTTTTCACAATGGATTTTTCCTTGAGCACTTCAAATTTTGATCTCTTT